ATTACTTTTTTTTTTTTTTTTTTGGTTTTTCTCCGGTACCGGAACCGAACTCATGACCTTGCGCTTGCCAGGCAGGCGCTTTTTGCCGCTGAGCTAAATCCCCAGCCCCGTTGTAAGTTACTTTTAATATTTTCAGCTAGCTCTTAATACTGTAATTAACACAGGCACTTATAGTCAATTACTTGGTCCATAGTCTATGTGGTTGAAATTTTGGATCATTCAGTAATAGAACATATAACATAATGTACTTATCAAACACAATTAGTGAGTGTAGTCAGAAAACACTAATTATTTAATGCCACTTTCAAAGCATTTCTTTGCACATTCCAATTAAAATTCCTATTTTATAAAAACCAGTCTCACCCAGGCATAAAAGTGAACATGAGTCTCAACCAACATATTAATTTTAAGGCCTGAATGACTCTCTCAGTATGTACTGAGTATCTTTGCATATTAAAGAGAAATGTTTATTTGTATGTATTGCATACAAACGTATATTTGTATATTAAGGAGAAATTGTGAAGAGAAATATGATAACATGTTTTATAATTAAAATTTTAATTACAGAGCAAAAGAATGAAGAATTTCCTACTGTAAGATTTAAAGTGTCATGTGAATGGGATATCTTTACATTGTCTCTTCATTACAACTGCTATTATAAGAGGATAACTACTCCATCTGCATGTAAAAGAAGCACTGAAATCAACATAGCCCATTTCTTCTGTTCAACTAACATTATAGTGTGGTTTCTTTTACTTTCATCTTTTTCGTTGTTACACCTCATACTTCAAATATTATTTATAGTATCAGCACTATCTCACTCTATAACTTTAGTTCTTATGGTCTGATCTGAATTTTTCCAACTGCACTACATCAAATAGCTGAAAGAATGCCAAGTTGAAACCACTTAATGATAAAGCAGAATCATAGGAAAAGCAAACCTCAGGATTTACTTTATCTAGACTTTTTGAAATTTTTATTGATCTGATTCTGCACAAGGCTGAAAAGATTGCATTATTTATCTAGCAGTGATTTTAGCATCGCAGCTAAACAAGGAATCTATCCATTTTTGAGTTTGGTGGTGAATTCACCTTGGACTTGAATATTCTAAGCAGCCCACGACTAATGTTACATCACTGTAAGTGTAATAAATGCCACCAAGAGAGGAAGAACACATGCAGTTTGTGTGTGAAGAAGTATGGCAAAGAAGCAAAAATGTAAAAGAAAGGAGGGAGTAGAAGGAAGAGGAATTAAAATTAAAATGTGATGTGTACATGTACTAACTCCTTATGGTGAATGTAGTCATTATGTATTGCAAACATGTACCAATAAAGTTTTTTAAATATTGACAAGTAAAACAAAATCTCTCAGGATTTTGAACATTACAGAATCAATCAATTTTGATTTAAATGTCAACATAAAAACACCTACCCATGCACGTATACAGAGGAATATAATTTACAAATATTTCCCATATATTTTGAAGTTTGTTTCCTCTGATTCAAGTCCAGAAAAGGGTACATCTCCTCAGAATGCATTATAAAACGATATTGCTAGTAAAGCACACAGTGAGGTAAGACCACCTTCTCATGTAAATAAGACAGTCAGTTTGGTTTCAGTTCTAACTCCACAAGCTATGCATCCGGGAGACTTCTGACCTGAGTGTTCTTTCAGTTTAGATGAAAACAGAATGTTTGCAGGGGGAAATTCTTTAGAACAGTGATTGCTGTTGGATGAGATCTAGCAAGGTGATATTTTTTTTTCTGAACTATTTTGTAGAAAAGAAAAGTAAGAGAGAGAGAGAGAGAGAAGGGTTTTTCTCAAATTTGCACATGGGTGTTTCCTACCATTGCTTGTAAGATAAACAGTGCTGCTTAGTGAGGAAGACTGTTAGTGCACGGTGATAAGAACTACAGAACAGAGACGTGTGCGGTGCTGCGGCATTAACCACGGACGTCAAATGGTCTTCCGTTCACGACAGTAAGTACTCTTATGCAGCAGAAGTAGACATTAAAGCCCCACATACACGTTCGAAACTCCTGTCAAGCAATAAAGGACACGGAGGATTACCTAAAACGGAACATTTAAATGTTGACACTGCTGAGAACTTTTTTCTGTGTTTTCTCTTTTAAAATTACTGGTTTTCCTACTTACGAGTTAGCCATTACTTTTACTTCCACGGTTGCCAAACAGATTCCTTATTCTTTAAGAATAAGTAAACCGCAAGGAAAGATCTACGATGCAGAACAAAGGAAACTGCACTGTTTGCTATGCATGGAGAAGCATGTTTCTTTCTGTGAGCAGTAGAATTTGTCTTAGTAACAGAAGTACCACAAGGAGATGACTTCCATTCTCACAGACTGCAGACCTATCTTTGGGGTCCTGCGGGCACACTGCAGGTGTCTCATTAATGGGGGTCTCCCTCACTATAGTGAATAATGTTGAACTTTAACATCCGGGTTGGAATCTCACTGTTTCTACAATGGCGATTTAGATCTTCTTACGAAGTGCAAGTTCAAGAGACAGCATGATAATTCTCTTACTCAAACTACAAAGTCAATAACTCTTAACAGAGTTTTTACTTTTTAAATCATGTTGGTCAGTGATCTCAACCTGAACTTTTGGTAGCTATGAATTATAACCCGACTAGTTTATACCAGGGCAGCTACAATGTGTGGAATTTTAAGAATATTGAATCCAAGTATCCTTTAACGTGTTTACCACAAGATTACCCATGACTTGGTATTTAAACTTCATCAACAATGGAACACTTGCTATATTCAATAAATGTGCAAAATTTTATCTTTGAAAGAATGCAAATTGTGACAACATTTTTATAAGCATGGTCCTGACATGTATTAAAGGAGATTGGTTTCACTTTCATGAGGCTATGTTGATGTTCATAACTTCTAATGAAAATCAGAGATATAAATTGATTCTATGGTGAAATATTTGTTTAAGATATTATCAGTGAAAATTTGGAAGAGGTGAATCTTAAGTAGCAAGTCGTGTTAACCCTGGACTACAAAAGGCGTATTATTTGTCTTGCAGAATCCAAAGATGCGCATAGCTGAGATAGAACCAGATGACATTACTTGTTTAACTACTGAAGACTCAAAAGAAAATGATCAAGAAAATCGGATCAAAAATAAAATATATGTAAGAACATTACAATATGTAACAATAAATATATACTACATGGGGAGAAGCATAATATATTTTTGTCAATCATAAAGGGGTTTAAAAAATAAGCGTCTTTCATTTTTAACCATAATCGTGGGATATTTCAGAATCAGCAAAAGGAAACAAATAAAATCAAGGAGAGCAATAAAAGCAAGACAAAGTTAGAAATTTCTAAATAGGATTAATATTGATCCAATATTTTTCAATGGTTTCTAAGAGCATGCAGTTTAATTATAATAGTTGAATAAAATGAAATCCAAGTTTCTGATCTATTTGGATACATTTTCAGAAGCCATGTCGCATATAAGGTACAGTTTATAGGACTAATGTGAATGACCACTTGAAATGGCCTAAATGTATTTCTTATCTTGAAAATTACAGCCTCCAAAACTGTGAAGAATGGATTTCTATCATTTATAAGTAACTCAGTTTTGGGTATTTGTCATAACAGACAAGTAGCTCATAACTCTTGTGCTGGTGAATTGATTTAGAATTTGCATTCATCTTCCTTTCCTGTGAATGATTTCAGTAACATGTTTCCACTAAGATTTTATTTTCTAATGAAGTACAATCATGGTGTAGTTGTTCATTTTCATTTTTATTTTGGAAAAGTTTTGCTTTGAATCTGACTGGAGGTGTTGTTTAATATATTTCCATAGGCTTATTTGCTATCTATGGTTTCACTGACACTTCATGAGATGTCTGCTAGATTATTTGGTGTATATTTATAAACCTGTGCCTTTTCATTTAATATGCTTAATATGTATGCCATGAAATATTGATACATGGGATAAAATGGTTACTAAAGTCAAGCCTGTTATTACATCCATAATTTCACATAGTTATCTTTGTGAGTATATGGTGAGACCACATAGTAGCTACCTTATTAGAAAATTTCCAGTATAGAGTGAAATATTTTTCTCATTTTAAATCTATCATTTTGTTCAGGAGCAAAGTTTTAAGTATTTATTTCTCATATTACTGAAATTCCTTGAGATGTTTCACACCACACAGAAAGAAATGCAGTGATGCTGTATTTGCCAAGGCTGAAAATTTTTATACAGAATAACTTGTAGTCAAAGTTTAAAACCAAGGCACGGTAAATATATTATGATAGTGGTAGAGAAAAGGAAATCATAGGCAAGGACCTGGAACTACAATGTAAAATCCAACCAATATCATTCAGTGTCTGAATTTGCAGATTTATTTATTCTACTATAGCAGGACACAATATCTTCTTCCTGGCTAGTTCAGGATTACCCTAAAATATGTTGTACGAGACTTCTCAAAATTTCTCCTTTTCCCTCTCCTTTTTCCCGTCCCTTTCTCTCTCTCTCCTAATTCTTCTCTCTCAGTATTTTTATAGGAAATTTTGCAGAACGATTTTTTCTGCAGGGAGAAAACAGCCCCGTAGTGCCTGAGGACAGAGTTAAGAGAGTTCCAACATTTAGAGTACTTTTGCATTTTCCTCATGAATGGTTAGCATATCCTGCAAAATCTGGAAAAGTGATTTCCAACATCTTTATTGTACGTTGGATAGGAGGAAAGAAATATAAAATTTTAATTTACTTAGTGACAGCATTCTATAGTATCAAATATCAAAACACCATATAAAAAATAATTTTCAAGATTGTAATGCACACTGCTCCACTAGATAATAGATTCCTTATGGGAAAAGATGTTCTTGGAGTTCTTCTATCCATCTTTTTAATCCCAGTAGTAACTGATAATTCTTGCCTAGACCACAATAAATAACTTTTGAGTAACAGAATAAATAGGTGATACGGTGTATGATAAATCAAGAGAGAGTCAAGCGCTTTGTTCTCATTACTTTATTCTATTTTTTTCTTTACATTACACCTTTAGAAAGGATCTAGCTATTCAGCCTTACTTTGTGGTGGGAAAGTTATGCTCAAATTGCACTGCATTTTAAGTACAAAAATTATTTCTCAGGCACAGGTTTGTGTATCAGCTTCTACTCTGCCTCAGCTCAGCTCTGCTGGGCTCACTTAAGTTCCTCCAGTAATTTTATTCACGGAGTAGCCCAGGGATAGACCTGAACTGGAGCAAACTGTTCTTTTGGAAGATTATAGGAGCAAACAGACTTCTTCAACCACAAATGCAGAGGTAATACTAGTCAGTCACGATGCGCTTCATACAGGTTCACATTCTCTTGGTCAAAGTGAGTCACATGGCTCAACCTGGAAATGCAGAGAAAGAAAATCCTACACCTACAGGAGAACCTGGCAGTTATAGGAGGGCATAGTGCTTGTAGATAGGGAAAGACTGTCACTGAGGACAACCAAGGAAAGACCTAGGCATTACAGTATTATCTAGACCAAGACTTTCTCTGGGGCCCGTTTATCTGAACGTCACAATCTTCTTCCCAAAATGCATATAAACTCCAGAATATTATTTTACAAAATTTTTGGAACTCTACTAGGTTCACATGAACAAATATTTGCCAGATTTACATATTATTTGAACGCTGAGGATGTGCTTTAAAATATATTTGTATAATAAATAAGAACACTCCTTTCAGGTATTTCCAATCTTCTTGGAGCATAAATATTTATCATTGCTTATCCATATTGCAGATTCAATTGAAGCTCAAAAGCACAAAGTTTAAGGAATCTAACTATCAACCTACAAATAAAACTTCCTTCCTATAAGTGAAATAAAGATAACATTAGTGTAAATCAAAATACAATAGAATATTCTTAAAACAATGCATTCTATAGTGAAAATAATTATGTACTTTAAATGAAAAAATGATTTTGGAAATTATACTTTAAAGGCAGAAGTCAAAAACATTTGTAAAGATGACTGTCCCTTGTACCCCAGATAGAGAAGTTCATAAATCCTTCTGTTTAACTTGTAAAATATGCAGTACAAAAGTCCAATGAGTAATTTACAGTCATGTTTAGTAAGAGAAAAGTAATTTAATTTTTGACACAAACGCTTCAAGATGAGAGATATAGGAGGCAAACAACCTCATGCAAAAATCACAAAATTAATTTTTCAATGAACATGTCAATATATGTAAATTGATTAGGGGTGAACACAGTATTACCTATACATAGAAAGTCATAAAATTTTAAGAAGCAATTTTTCCAATTATATAAATAAAAATAGCCTATCTTTTCAATCAATGATAATTTAAAGTTAGCACAGTAATGGCAGAATACCTCTAAATTTACTATTCACTATACCTCTAAAATTCCTGTTATTTCTATTTAATCTAGTATCATTCAGGTGAAGTTGTATCAGACTATCTGTGGCTTCCATTGAAATAGAGTAGGTTCAACTTCGATAACATTTTTTCAAATGATATTGTTTGTGTTTAGGTAGTCTGTTAAATTGTGAGCACAGTTAACTGATGAGCACAATTATTTAAAATCATTTACACGGGGCTGGGGATTTAGCTCAGCGGCAAAGCGCCTGCCTGGCAAGTGCAAGGTCATGAGTTCGGTTCCCGGTACCGGAGAAAAACCAAAAAAAAAAAAAAAAAAATCATTTACTACTTTTAGAATGTCAACCTAGGCAAGTGCTTAATAAAGGAGGTATGCTTTATGATTACTGGTACATGCTATTTCAGTAGAAAAACAAGAGCAGAATTAACACAAGAAGTAAGAAGATGCAGGAATTTGAGCAGAAATAAGAGGGTTATAAGAGCTACCAGGTAGAACACGATATAGAGAAACAGAACACTTATCCAGACAGGAAAAAATACAACCCCAACCACCAGCCCCAGTTTGCAATTAGCTCTGTTATAACCATGATAAATAGGCATTTATGAAGTAGTATACTCTGAGATTTGTTATGTTAAACAAATGTCTCATTAAATCTGTCTCATTAAACCTCCAGGTAAAAGTGTTACATGCAACGGTAGTTAGTATATTAAATTTTGTTCTAATATAGTGACAAAAGATATTGACATTATTATATAATGGTTAGTTTTGTATGACAACAGAGGTTACACATAAGGAGCTCAAGTAATTTGTGATGTGTGATGTCTAATATCCATTTATTGATTTGTTTAGCTTTTCAAAATTTCTGTGTCCATTTGTATAAGCATGTATTATACTTAGGCTGAAGTAACTTGTACTCATATGATACTTTAGAATTACAAATTATTTTCATGTGTTTAATCCTTGCAGGAAACTTATGTAGAAAACATTAATATACTCCATTCCAACAGTGTTTTTCATCATTTCCAGGAGAAAAGTCAAGACTCAACTGAGTGTCCAGATTCTTACAAATCACTTAAAATTGAGAGCAGCGTTTGAAAGACGCAGAAGGGTTGATCACAGTGTAAATATTTCCAGTGGAGAATATTACAGCCATGCAGCTGTCATTCTGACCTTTGAAGAGGCACTGGAAATGCCATGGGTGGCCTAAATAGCACATCCAATACAAGCTGAAGTGTTCAATAAAATCTAAGCTGGGACAAACAAGAACAATCTGTCAAGCCAGCTGTTCCCGACATTTGATAAAATTCTCCTTCATAAAAAAAAGCCTCTGATATTATTCTCTACTCAGTGATTAGAAATACCAGTATGTCAATTATTTTACATATTTGAGGATTTCCACAGACCCATCCTGTAAAACATGTGAACACGCAGCCAATGCAAACACTGCTAACACATTTTACTTAGGACATAGAATTTGACTTTGGGGAGTGGTTTGATTTGTATGTTGAAAATAAATGACTAAGAAAGAAGGTAAATGCCATTAGAAATATTTTGGATTTTTCCACACCTAATCACCACAATCAGGAGTTAGAGAAAATTCTTATGTTATTTTCAAAAGTACTAGCCTAATAATAGGAGCACGTTGATAATATTTTTTGTCAAGTTCAATCTCATTAAGGCATTTCAAGCTACTTTCAACTTTTTTCCCTCAGAGCAAAACATACGAAGAAAAACAAAATATGAAACTATTTGACTACTGAAAGGAAATCTAGGATATCATTAAATTCTGCTATAATTGACTTTGGAAAATATGTTTTTACTGGGTATAAATATAAAACTAGCTTAAGGAGAAAGACAAGAAAAATGGGTAATAAAGAAGGAAAAGGTGGATTAGGATCAGGGTCAAGCTCTGAGAAGTCCTACATTAGTCTGCAAGTGAAATGAGCAGACTCAATGCAATTAACTTTTTCATATTGTATGAAGTTAAACTAAAATTTAAATATACCCAAAATAAAAAGATTGCACCTGTATTCTTTAAGCAAACAAATAGACAATGTAAACTCCAATGGAATGTCAGAGGTTGTTGTTTCCACTTCAATCTTAATTTCCCATTCTTCCTCATTACTGGGGCTAGGGATGTGGCCAGCTAAAGCATCATGTTTGCCAGTATCTCCTGAGGTCAGAAGTAGCCATGTAACTAAATTCCTATAATTGTATGAGTGGAGATATGTTGTAGTTCCTCTCAGAAGATCCCTCTATTGTTTGACTTTTGCTAAGTTATCCTTAACTAAAGCAATAATTACACAATTTGAGTGAACTACAACAGAACCTATAGAAACAAACAAAATCTTACTTTTGGCTCACCTCATGTTGATGCTTTAGCTGATGCTTCTCACTCATCTGTGATTCTTGGAGTCAGTTTGTAGAAGATCCTCCAGTTTGAGATATGGTATTTGCCAGGGGAAAAGGAGAAAATGGTTACTAAAAGAGAAAAGACAGTTACTCAGTTTTCTGCCTTGACATGCCACCGGAGGTATCCACGTTCCCTCAGCCAAAATAAGTCACATGACCAAAGATGACTCAGTAGAAAAACTACTATAATTAGTGTAAATGAGACACAAATGAACATAGTTGTACATGAAACAAGTAAGTAGCTCAGAATTTATTTTATGGGAAATTTTAGCAATGATGTAAAATTGTCTTTAGCTTTGAATATTGAGATTTTTTAAAATGTATGTAAGTATATATATATATATATATATGTAAATGGTTAGAAAATGCACAAAATTATATTAATATAAGTTTATCCCTCCTCACTGTAGGAAAACATGTATCTACGAAAATTGTATATTGAGAAAGAATCAAGCAATGGTGACTCAAAGAACACAGACATTGACTATTCAGAAAATAAGTGTGAAACTGAATAACATTGTCACAAATAACCACTTTAGCTACTAAAAAACACCCACAAGAAGTTAATAAGTTGAAAAGTGAACGGCATAACATGGGGAAATAATAAGGATGTTTGTGGCCTTTTTGTCAGTCCCAGGTCACTGCAGGTGTTACCTGCAAAAGTCCTTTCTTGGAGCTTCTGAGGAAATCTAGCCACGGAGCCCTGAAGGAGTGTTGGCTGAGGTTCGTGGCTTTGCGGGCCAAAGAGTGACCAGCTCCGTTCGTAATGGATAAGAAAAGCTGGGAGTGATGTTTATCCGGAACTGTAGACTTGGATCCGTGTTTTGGTAGTCTAGACAGAAATTTAATGAAGAGAAATTGAGAACTGAGAAAATTATAAAAGGCCTGCGGTGAACGCTCCATATGTTCCGTGCAGACTTCCAAAAATACACACGTGTGAGGATAACTGCAGAACGCCAGTGAAATGTGAAAGCCAAGAAGACTTTTACGTTGTCTGAAGCTCACAGTTTTCTTCCGGCCCACGGGCGGATTGGCAGGGAATAAACGGTCACAGTGCGAACACGCGCTGTCACAAATGTTGACCAAAACCACCGCACGAACAACACTTTGATCCCTAAGCAAGTAGGATGCAAGGAAAAGAAATGTAGGAGAACACTAACCTGAACCGCCAGAAACTGAATGCTGTGAATGGGAAGAGGCTTCTTTTATTAAATACAGCACTGGTAAACTGGCAAAATAAGTCAGTATATCAGAAAGTAAATACATAATTAAAAAAATAAACAAATGAATAAAGAAAATTGACAGTTCCCAGAGAAATAAAATGAAATGTAGCGCTACAGTGCCACAACATCTTACCTGCCCAGGTTTCAAGCAAAACTGACAAGATATCCATAGGAAAATAAAGCATAGCCCATACACAGAAAAACAATTCTTTTTTTTTTTTTTTTTTTGGTTTTTCTCCGGTACCGGAACCGAACTCACTACCTTGCGCTTGCCAGGCAAGCGCTTTTGCCGCTGAGCTAAATCCCCAGTCCCTACAATTCTTAAAAGTAGTCAATAGCAACCAAGCTCAAGAGCTGTGCAGAGCAAATGTTGGATTGAAATAGACCAAAACCCTCAAAGGAGCTATTGAATATACAGTCGGAGTATTAAAATAATTGCATGCAATTAATTTAAAAATTGTGTATTAACAATGCAATAATAAATATAAAGTCTCAATAGGAGATTAGAAAGTATATGAAACAGCTCTTGCAACCATCTAGAACAGAATAGCATAATCACTGAAAGAGTCCATAAAAATTAGCATTAGACTTCACATGGTAAAAGAAACAAAAGTGAATGTGGAGATCGATCAGTAGAAATCATTCATTCCAGCAAGAGGAAAAAACAGAGATTGAAGAAAAATGAAGAGGGACTCAAACACCTGTAGGAATTTCATCATAAATACAAAGATGATTTTGTTTTTCAGTACTGGGAATGGAACTTAGGACCTTGCACTTGCCAGGCAGGTGCTGTGCCACTGAACTACACCCCCAGCTCCAAATATGATTCATAGAAAGAAAGAAAAAGAGAAAATAGACAAAAATTCTTTTAAAAATTAAGAAATTAAAATATCTCAAATTTTATGAAAAATATCAGTACATTAATCAACAAATCCCAACAAAGACAAAGTAACAAATATAGTTTCAGTCAGACGTAGCCGAACTTCTGAAAACCAAAACACGGAGAAGCTTATGAAATCATAAGGACAAAATTAACAATCATGGAGAATATTAAGGGGCAGATTTTAAAACCAAGTGAGAAGACTGTAAAATGAAATAGTCAAGGTAAAATTCAAGATGAATGCAAGGAGAAAGAAGCAATTTCTTACCTATTTAAAAGAAATCATAAGATTATTTAAAATAAAAATTATTAGTTTGCTGACATCTGTTATATGTGTGTGCCTATTTATATACATAAATATAAGCAGCAAAATGGAAGAGAAAGGAAATGAATTTGAATGGTTGAAAGTCACTATCTCTTACTGGAATTAAATTTATACTAATTCAAAAAAAGGTTTTTAGTGTAAATTGTTATTTTTAGATTAATCACTGGACAATAATATAACTAAGTAATTAATACTATGATTGAAAATCATAAAAACAATTTTTGCATAGAAGTGCAGCAGAATGAGGCACAAAAACATACACAAAAAATAGAAAAATACATTTGCAGATATAATTTCATTTAATTAGATTTTTTTAAATTTAGCCTTCTTTTAAGGAAGACACATATAGATATATATCAATTCCACAATTTCAAATAAGCAAGAGGAAATTTTTTATTTCTTTGAAGTAGCAATACCTTTTTTTGATAGTTGTAATATGAATATGACAAGATTTGAATGTTTTCTCAATATTGCCAGTATGAATACAATAAATCAAATATTATTTTTATTCTAATAAAAGAACTTTAAAAAGTGAAAGTTATAAAAATAAATTCTCTATTAGAAGAATATTTTACATTTAACTTTAATAGGGAGAAATTAATCTTGATTGCAATACATCTTATCTGTTTAGAGAACTGGAGTAAATCTGAGGTAAATTATAATATGTCATAGTTTGCTTTCAAATATACAAATTTTCAAGCATATTTTTCATTGCTAAAATTATATTCTTGCTGTAAATTTTTACTATGACTCATTTTCTATACAATAACATGTATCATTAACTTGAACCACACAATATAAAACACTAGATAGTATTCGTGAAGAGAAATTTCACATATTCTTTTCATTTCAATAAAAAAAGCAAAACTTCCTAGCTAAGTATACCTGTGGAATGTATAAAAGACATAAATTTAATTTATTTAAAATGATTATTTCATAGTACAGAAAATGTACAGTTAAAATATGTGTAAACATATTTGTCAAAATTACAAAATTTCTGCATGTACTTGACATTGCAATATTTTAGGAGTAGCTGAATTTGGATTATCTGTCCTATGTTTTTGAATTTCATGCCTGATAGTCTAGTGCATTTATGAGGATGTTACAATATTGGTATGTGTTTACTTTACAAGGAGAAATAAAAGCCATCAAACCTGTACAGAGAAAAGGAGAAATTAGAAGAGATGAGATAAGCAAAAAAATAAGGCTTCATGCTGGGCATAATCAGAAAAATATATTAAACGATGTTTTTTTTTTTAATTTAAAAATGTTTAATTCAATGACCTGGAGAAAAGGTTCAACATAGGAGATAATTCATCTTGCCAGTTATTTTCTGATTTAATATCATATAAATAGAGTAAGTTCCCAAATTATGAACGAGTTCCATTCTGGGAGAATGTTCATAACTCAAATTCATTCTAAGCCTGACAGTAAGTCTTCTACATCTTTGATACAAATACACAATATACATTGCTTCGTGCTTCCTGGCAGTCCCTTCCTCATCACCACTGCTTCTCCTCTCCAGACATCCTGGACTTGGATCGAGCACTGTGCTACTCTGTGCTATTGCACTGTATATAAGCACGTAGCAGCTCACCTGTGACAATGTCTGCAGATACTTGCGCTACTTCCACTACTCCGCTGTTTGTCCACATCTACAAATGTTCGTAAGGGGAGATCCATTTGTATCTGTGAAAGTTTGCAATGCGACTCTTCATAAATTTGGAACTTACCTGTCATAATATTTTTTTTTTGATGAAAAATTAGAGAGTCAAAACCAAAATACAGAAAAACTAATAGCCCTACCACACTAGGATAATATGTACTGTTTGGTGTATATTCTTCCAGACACCAATAGGTTCACAGACATTGAATGTTTGATACCTGTATAAAATATGAACAAGGGTATTAAACCATAATAAACCACCTCTTTCAGATAAGAAAGTTAAGATTTAAAAATGTAAATAGTACGTGGTGAGGAATCCATGAGTGAGAGGAGGGCAGATTGACCTTGAACTCACAACTTTAACTGGCTTTGTACCTCCAGGTTTATAAGGTGGTGGGAATGAATAAGTAGAGGTATAAATTTGTTGATGCATTATTGTGCGTAGCAAAAGAAGAGGATAAAATTGAAAAAATGAGGGTAGGGTAGAAGTCAAGTCTTTGATAATAAACTATGTCTCCCTTGAATGACCTCCTAAAACAAATTCATGTTCATGTAGATTTCTAAGTTTCAGATTATCCACACAGGTGTGTTTTATGAACCAACATGCTGAACTGGAGAATCATAAGAAAAACAATTTGACGATTATACTTAGTCTTCATACATATAAAAACTCATAGTGTATGTTTGAAAACTTGGTACTTATGAAAGGGACAAAAAGCTATTTCAAGCCTCAAGGAAATATTCTAATCATTTGCACAGGAAGACATTTTAATGGACAAATTGGTTATATAAAGTTTAATGCTAAAGTCCTCATTATAAATAGAGAGGTAATGAGACGATGAGGTGCTAATGCTTTGTATAATGATATAAAAAGTGTCTTTCTCCATCCTGAGTGTATCACATTAGAGGCAGTTCTATGGTTAGAAGGAAAATGGTATTTTCCTCAGCCCCTTGGAAGACATGAAATAGTTATCAGGAAAAATTATTACACTCATTGACGGTTGCTTCAGAGAGGATGAGATAAAAGATCCAATCCTTCCCACATTTAAGAGGCTGGAAGAGAGTCTGTCAGGAAACAACTGAGGAAGACCAAGACCTTCATAAGTACCCTTGGGAGAACATAGCAAGTCTCATTTCAGGAACAATGTAACATAATTTCCATGTGCTAGTGTAAACTTTCAGATAATATGATTTTCAGGTTTGTTTAACACAGCACAAATTTATTTATAATAATAAATTTGACATAAGTATAACTTTATCTATGACTGGTTGGTATGTGGAACAATAAATTAGGATGAAACCCTAAATCATACAATATTCCATACAGCTCTTAAAAAAAGAAGAAAAAGAAAGAGAAAATAATTACTCTGGAGAAAAAGGATTAATTTTTAATACATGAAACTACTGCATTTGTTTTGGAGAATATCTTGCATTTTCATGTGAATATTAGAGGAAGGGATAATGTTCTGAAAGATGGAAGATTTGAAAATATCGATGCTACCTATAGGGATCCTCCCTACAATTAGTTCATACCCCGATGAACAATTTTCTGTATATTGGACTAATATTTGCCTTTAATATTGAGTGAAGAGTGCATTTCATTCTCTCCATAGGAATCAATGAGCTAGATAAATGGATAGTGAATAAAAATGGACTTTGATTATGCATTTCTTGATGCTGTTCCTACTTTAAAAATTTAGATCCTGAAAGTCTGCTAATATTTTAATTCTAGGTGGATGAATGAATTATTTGAGAGTGATTTATTTTTCAGAATGTTCAAAGATATGAGACATAAGATGATTTTTTAGGTAATGATTTCTTATTATGCTATCAAGGGAGATTTTTGAGATTTGATCACTCTGATCATATCTGTCTTATGGAAGGCACTCATGCAAGATTAAAATGGTGCTCTCAATTGAGATGGTGTCTACCTGTGAATTGTTCAATATCTTTCCTTCTATCTTCAGTCTGGAAGAGTTGAAAGGACCTTAGTGAATAAGAAAAATCATGAAATATAAGGTAGAAAACAAGTGAAGAGTCTAGCCACGTACCCTCTAATTATAGCA